CGCAAAGTTTGCATACCTCCTCTTTGGGGGTGGAGAGCCTTTTATAACCACCTCGCGCACTCACTCCTAGACTCCTGTCAGGTCGGGAATGAGTATTTCCGTGCTTCTACCAGTTCGGGCGTCATCGCCTCTGCTAGGGCAGAACCGTCACTGCTCTTTTTGTCGAAGCCGTCTCTGTAACTGGAGGAAGTGGTGACAGGTGACGGTGGCAGGTGGCCGTTTGAAATGCGGCCGTCAAGCGTCAGATCCCAAGTTAGTCAGGTGTGCCGCCCCTGGATACGGACTCCTTCGGTGTCAGGTATGGTGTAGTTTGTCCAGTTCAATGCTCTGGAAGTGAAGTACCTGGAGCGGTGCGTGAGGCGAAGTCTTGAGTTCGGATAAGGGGGGCCCCGAACTGTCATAAGATGGGCCAGTTCGGGTCTCTACTTTGTGTGACTCGGGGCCAAAGGGAGAGTTCGGGCTCCTCGTAGGGAGTTCGGGCACCTTGCAGGGAGTTCGGGCTCCTCGTAGGGAGTTCGAGCTCTAAGTAAGGAGTTCGGGCACCTTGCAGGGAGTTCTGGCTCCTCGTAGGGAGTTTGAGCTCTAAGTAAGGAGTTCGGGCTCTAAGTAAGGAGTTAGGAGTTCGGGCTCCTTGTAGGGAGTTCGAGCTGCAAGTAAGGAGTTCGAATCGCTGGTCTTTTCCCTTTGACGTTTGTACCCTCGGTGCACCGTCTTAAATGCTGAGCTTACTTGTTTTTTGCCACATGGCGTGATTTGCAAGGTCGGGCAAAATCTTCCTTCATCAATAATAATTTCTACAGACCGTTTGTTAAACAACAATTTCCAAAGTATAGGACTTAAAAAAAAAATCGTGAGTTATATCTGATCTTACTCGGTCAGAGGCACAAGAAATTCATCCCCCCTCAAAATCAACTTAATAACTCGCTCAATTCTTGACTTAAATAAGAGAATTGAATGGATTTCAATGAAGAAGACTTTGACCACTCGTTCAAGAACCGGTCCAAGCTTCATGTGAAACAGAAAAATTAATTCCGATCTTTCTAATTTTATGTTTATGATGGATGATTAGTCTTATCCAACGTTACTCCCTCGCCCTGGCCCCTCTGTGAAGGAGTTCTGTCTGTTACTCTGTTTCATGGGCGGTAGTTGTTAGTACAGTTTCTCTCGCTGTACCAGCACCGCCATGAATTAAAGCTAGTGGCTGTGATGTGAATACCCGTCGTCCCTGCTGCCGGAAGTGTACAGCTCCGACGTGTAACCCCTTAATAAATGATTTGTTCGGTTGTTCCCCACGCTTTTTCTACACCAGCCACGTGTCCTTGCGTTTTTTGGCCAACTTCTATCCTCACACGCTTTTACCAAATATGTACATCACATTCACACGCACTAACCCGGCCCCATCGGTTAGTGTCGGATCATTTTTGTCGGGTTCATGTTATACCCGACCCATTCACAATCGATCAACTGATTCCCCAAATAATCATATGATACTTAATTGAATATCATGTGTTAGAATTTGTATTGGATTAACAATCAAATCGAATGCAAACTTAACCCCATCTAATTCTATTAAAATCTAAATCCGATGAAAATTATTATTTTATATGCATGCAACATATATAAAGCATAGACATATAGATATTTATACATTATACAAAATTTTTAATTAATAAATTAATTATTTAATATTAATATACATTTTTTACATGTATAATAATACTGCAAATTAAAAATAATTGGTTTTTTAAGATTCTTTAAGCTTTCTGTATTATTACTGGATACGGATTACACCTAAATCCGATCTGAATACACATGGGATAGAGCGTGTCGGGTTGATCCGGCCCCATCGAACCCGATCCCGATCCCGATCCCGATCCCGATCCTTTGGGCGTTGGCATGAAGAGTCGTAGAAAAGCCAAGGCAACACATCCAGGCATCCATGGGGTTGGTTGCTTAAACCGTTAAAGTGCCACCAGTGCTGCTCGTTGGAGCGGAGCGGGAGTGACGTTCATTTATCAGACGCGCATGTATCATGTATGGCGGCAGTTCTCGGTGAAGCTGAAGCTGTGAATGAAATCACAGGCCGTACTTTTGTGTCCCCAAAACAAACAGTTGCTATTTCCTAAACGAAACGTACATTTCAAGTAGACCCTAGCAACGGTCCACCTTCTTATCTCCCAGATGCTGAGGCTTTCTCCTTATGAACGCCGGTCCCTACTCCAAAGCATCTCTCTCTCCTACCTCCTAAGTCCTACCCAAACGGTGGTGGGTCCCCCCAAATTTTCTATCCGAAAACTGAAAACTCTTGGACGGTTTCTGCTTTCTTTCTTTCTTCCCATACATTATTCAATTATCTACTTCACGTTAATTCTGCTGCTTTCTCTGCGGGAAATCTGGATACATCATACATACTTACCGTTTGTAATTACAATTAATTAATCAGAGTCAGGACACGATCGTAATTTCAGGACCAACCGCGGCTATCAGAAAGGACTTGACGATGATGGGTCGGATTATATCGGATTTCCTCTTGCCTACGTTTAGCGGAAAGGGCAGTGGATACACGTGTCTTGACTTAATGGTCCAAGGCATTAACTGTCGGTCCAAGGGAGCGGTTCAAGCGGGGTTGGGATGTGGGTGAAGTAGTAAGGCAGGATCGCAGCCGATCCAAGTCACACGGCGGGAAAGCGGAAATATGCCGACACGGCCGTCATTGATTCCGTCGGAAAGTACCACAAGGCAGAAGCACACCATTAACCGTCCTAACGGCCGTTAAGCAATGCCGCCTGGTCTGCCGCTCGCCTCGTGTCTCGACAAGCCGCGTGCCACGTAACCCAGACAACAATAATATTATGCCACCACGCTCCGGAAGGGGGCGGCGGCCAAGGACAGTCAAACCGCTCGTTGACTGCGCCGAATATTTTCAATTTCCTCGCCGATCCCTCCACATCTCCCTATATAAACCCTGCACCTCCCCCCCCACCCTTCCCTACCCTACCTCGCCTTTTCTCGTCTCATCACTTCTCTCTCTCTTTCTTCTGTAACCGAAAAACTCTTGAGTCTTGACAGAGCCAGACGCAACCCGCACGGAGATATGGCGCCTCGAGATAAACCTAACGGTAACGGTGGTGGCAAGGGTGGGAACGCTGGGTGTAACAGTAACGGCAAGGAGGTGCATTTCAGGGGTGTGAGGAAGAGACCGTGGGGGCGCTACGCCGCTGAGATCAGAGATCCCGGGAAGAAGAGTCGTGTCTGGTTAGGAACGTTTGATACGGCGGAAGAGGCGGCCAGGGCTTACGATGCCGCCGCTAGGGAATTTCGGGGTTCCAAGGCTAAGACTAACTTTCCTTTACCGTCTGAGAGTAATAACAACCAGAGCCCGAGCCAGAGCAGTACCGTCGAGTCTTCCAGCCGGGAAGGGTTTTCCCCGGCACCGGTCGCGGCGCCGTCGTCGTTGGAGATTGATCTGCTACACCGCGGTGCCGGAGGTGGCGGTGTCGGAGGTGGTACTGCTGGTTTCGCTGTTCGATTTCCTTTCCATCACCAACACCATGTGTCGCCCACTGCTGCTGCCGGGGTTTTGCCGACCGCACATCCATTTTTCTTTTTTGACGCGATTGTTCGGTCGGAGAATATGACCCACCACCATCCTCTGAGGTTCGACCCCGCGGCTGCTGAGTACCAGGCCGCTTTTGCTGGTGGTGGGGTCCAGAGCGACTCCGACTCGTCATCCGTCGTTGATTTCAACCATCATGATGAACTTATCCCCAGGAGGGGGGTCCTTGAACTTGATCTCAACCTTCCTCCACCGGAGGTTGCATGATCTCGCCGGATTTTTTAGATCATCAGGTCGCCTTCGCCGGTTTCAGATCGGGACCCACCTAGTTATTTTTCCAAGTTCCTCGTTATTTTCATTACCCAGCAAGTTCGTTCTTTTTAAAACTAAAAGGAAAACGAAAAAAAAATAGAGAGCGAGCCAAGAGCACAGCCTGTTTAATCAATGTTGGAGCTGTTCATCGCTCTGGGAGCCTTGCGTTGAGATTCGATGTAAATACATAACCGATCATTTTCCTCCTTTCATTCCTTAATCTATTTTTCCAACTGAGAAATCGTTTGTGTTTCTCAAATGTTGTCATCATCACTGAAACTGCTACTGTTTTTGTAACTCAACTCTTTCACAAGAGTTTCTTCCATGGATCAATGAATTAATCCATTATTTTTCTTACTCAATTATTCGTATTCAAGTTATTACCAGTTCAATAGTTATTTGACTTGTTAAAAGATTAAAAGCGAAGAGATGTAAAATCTGGTTATCGGCGGCCGGCATTATTCCATCTTATCCGGTGGAGAGATGGGAACCACCGGATGCGGTGGGAGTGGGGCCAAAGTTAGTACGGACATCGCACTGACCGGGTTGAGTTGAAAAAGGAAGAGAGAGGGGGGGGGAATTTTATTACAAAACGGCACCGACGGCGAAACCGCATACCCACGCGACTGGATCACGAGCGAGTCTTCGGGGTGGGGCCCGATAAATTCCGTGTTGACGACGTATATAGGTTCGAGATTTGGCAGGGCGGCACGAGTACGTCTGTTGTGCTGCCTCCTGCCGGCCCCTCCCCCGAGTCTTTAGTTCCCGTCCCGCTTTGCTTTTTTTTTTTCTTTTTCTTTTTCTTTTCCGTGGAGTAAGATACGTGAGCGGGGGGGAGCCCAGAAGGGGACAAGGTGGGATCCACCTTTGACACGAGACATGGAAGTGGAGGCGCGGCGGCCGTTTTTGGTGGGTCCCTCCTCTCGTCGTCGGAATCTAAGGAGAAGATTTCGCTTTTCCTTTTTGTTATTTATATTTATTTATTTAACCGCAAAATTCAAAGTCTGTCTCTGGAGGGTGAGTCCCACGCATGCATGGATGCAGGATAGGGATAGCATGGCATGGCATTGCATACATGATGATGCATCTCCCACGCACGAAAATCCAGAGCGCTAAAGGAACGACACGAAGCATCATAGCACGTGGAGTTCGTACGGAGTTCTGACGATCCGTGACGTGTTAGAAGGCGACAGACAGTTACGCCGGCTGGTCGGCGTGAGTTGGTGGTGGGGTCCACCAGTGAGCTTGAGAGAGAGAGGAGGGGGGGGGGGGYCAGGGTTGGTCTGGTTTATGTGAGTGACACGTTTCGAGTGAGCGAGAGGTGGAGTTGGGGGGGAGGGCAAATGGGGCAATAAAAGCAACCGCCAAAAAGGGGGGAAAGTTTTTGGCGGGTGTGGGCGGCTTCTGGCTCACCGCCTTTAAAAGTGGAATTTGTTGGCGTGTGAGGTGACCGCCCCTGCCTCTCCTCTCTCCTGTTTTTATGTAGCGGCGCGTCTTTGCGTAGATTTTTAGGCTCCTTTTTACATTTAAATTAATTATTAGGTTTATAGCTTCAGTCGGTTCGGTTCGTAGCTGGCGACACGTGACACGTGATGAAGAAGCCTCTCGCCACCTGTGTGGCTGTTTCCTCACCTCTCATTTAAACACCATCACTCTACATCATAGCCCACAGTTATGTCTCTAGCTCCTCTTCTTGTTTTGGAATTTGGATTAGGGATATAAACGGTATAGCCCTCGGGTCAGAGCTAGTGTCCTATCCTTAATCGGGTTCGGGTTAAAGTAAACCCGAGTATAACTGCCCAAGTGCCTTTATACATCATTGTAGCTCGGCCCTCTTCGTTTTATTTTCTTTGGGTTGGGTTCAAATTCAATGCAGTTTCAATCAACCCGAACCCGTCCCACACATCTATGACCCGATTAAATATGAAATGATCCCAAGTCGGGATCAGTGCGAGACTGCGAGTTTGCCGCTTAAGCTCGACATAGTGACATACCGACTCAAAGAATCAGGCTGGCTGGGATCAGTGGACCAGCTAATTTATGATTGACGGGTGGTACGGTAGAGAAGAAGACTGGGAGCATGTGCTAATGTTGATTAATAATAGCTTCGTCAGATAGGCATCGTTGGTGTTGGTTTCGGTCGATAAACGGCACACGCCGGCTACCTCTTATGGACCATAGATTTTAGTTACTTGATCGAAAGGGTTCTAAGCTTCTACACTCTAACTGACGTGGGGTCTTTCATTCTTTTACTTCTTTTCTGACCGTCAAAATGATTGCGACGTCGATGTTTGTCTATTTCAACTTTCAAGGCACATAAGGAGAAAGATCCAACGGTGGTGATGCGCCAAAATGGCCAAAAGACTGCATCATAGATCTAAAAATAGCAAGGCCATCCGTATGGGGTAGGGCACTGCTTCAGGGCTTCAGACTCGCTCCTTCTCATGTCAAAATCAAAATCCAAATCGGACGACTTATAGCTGTTAGGTTTCACGTCATTGTATTGGTAGCCCAACCAGTGAAGTGAGACACTGACCACTCAAAATCTGAGATGAATGCAGGATTAAACACGTGTAGTGAAATAGTGATATGCCTACCTTTTATGGGTCCCACCTAATTAATCACATTGTTATCGGCGGACGGCAACTGTTTTTAAATAAAATAATATTATATTTGCTTTCTATAAAAGCAAGGGGTTTGCACTTTGCACCGTAACCACACCAAACCAAAAGTTACAGCAAATCATGCCGATTCTTGACCAAGCGAATCTGCGTTTGTGGGGCCATGGCGATCGTGTGGTATAAAGATATGCTAAGAACTAAGGAGAGAGAGGAGAGAGAGAGAGAGTAGGTAGAGAAAAAGGTAATTCTCACTTTCAAACTACAAAGGGATAATTGAGAGAGACCTAACTGTATTATGAGCCATCTCTTTCAATTTTCTTTTGTGTCCCTTCACGAATCACGATTCATTATATATATATATATACATATCCGCAATTAAAATAGAAATCTGGTTAGTGAGTTAAGGGTAAATATGGTTAGGTTTGAGTGGGTAAATTTGGGTTTTCAAATCAGTTTGGCTGGAGACTAGGGTCCATTAACCCAATTTTGCTCATGGTCCATCCGGTCATCCTCCATCCTCCATCCCTCAACCCTAGCGGCATTTGGATTTAATCTCAAATTTAAATTGCATTTGGGATTTTTGGGTTTTTTCACTACGCATAGCTTAAGGCTTTCCATATGAATACGTCTTGCAAAGTTAGAAGCTCTGTTACATCAAAGACCTTTTAAATGGATAATAGATTTTAGGAAAATTTTTTAAAAAAAATTGTAATGAGCTTTCAGCATTTCTCTTAAATTCATCACAATCTTTCAAAATGTCTACAATTCATCATGTAACTAACTTGACGTTAAACAGACTAATAAGTGTTAATATATTACCATTTTAATCTTCATAGAAAAATATAAAATATGTATAAAATAAATCAATGGATGTTAATATATTACTATTTAGACATGAAAAAAAGAAAAAGTTTAAAAAATATTTTCAAATATAAAATATGTAAAAACATAGAAATTACAAAAAATATAAAATTTATAGAAATTGCAAAAAATAAATAAAAATTTATTTTTAAATTATAAAAAACTATAGAAATTGGAAAACAAAATCAGAAAATAAAAATTCTACAAAAAATACCAAAAATTATAGAAAAACGTAGAAATTACAAATAAATAACAAAAAATACAAGAAAATTTATAGATTGTAGAAAATAGAAAATGTAAAAAAAAACAGAGATTATAAAAAACATTGAAATTATAACAAAACACTAAGAATGCAAAAAAAAAAAGCAAGAAAATTGAAAACTGAAAAATATCATTTTTCAGTTAAGAAGTGATGAGGGGAAATTTGGCCCGACCTCGCGATCGCCCGACACGTGGCAAAGGCAAGCAGCTCGGGACAGTAGAGCACCCAAAGCGAACATCGGAAGCAAGTCCAAACTCACTACCGAGCCCGAACTCCAGACCGCTGTACTTAGTCCGAGCTCCTTGTTAAGAGCGAGCTCCCTGTCAAAGGTCCGAGCTCCCTAAAAACCCGAGCTCC